GTTCAATATGCAGGATGGATGTACTTTAAATGTAGGTAATTAGGTGTTAGTTAGTATGTTAGTTAGTAATCTTTTATATTTCTTAAAGATTCAAATTTTAAAGATACTTATAGTACTAAAGTCTTTGAGTTATGTATTATCAGGAAATGTAAAGTTAATTATGCTTGTTTCCACTATTTAACTGAAAAACCTGACAATCTAATCTATAGATACGTAATGTTATCTTATGATACAGGAATTGGGTCAAGTTTATGTAGTTCATTACCAATAGAGATTACAGTCTTCTTTATAGATAAGAATGTATCCACAGTTATACATTATCATTGCCTATATACATTAATCCATGCAACCCCTACCTTACATGTAAACAGAGACATTTATTTGTGCATACACATATGGAATTGAGGATATAGCCAGATCACCTGTTTAACCCACTGGATCAGGGTGACATGACCAGCACTTCATGAAAAAAAAATGTGGGCCTGGTGACAGGTATATACTATCATTTAGAAAATTGCCATGACAAGCAGCACAGGGTGTTTTAGACAAAATTGAATAGTAAAAGAATTACCAAATAACACAAGGTTACTTATTAGTTTTTATTATTGTACAGAGTTTCAGAGTCTGCTCTGAAAAAACAGTTTATTACCATCTCAATACAGCATAACAAAGGACAATTACAGACCTTGGGAGATTGCATAAGAGCATTCATAGCATTGCATTGGAGGCATTAGGTTTACATGAGTCACCTTTCTAGTAAGCCTCATGCCTGGATTTTGGTCCACGTGCCAGGCCGTGAAGCATCCAGATCCAACAGGTTAATCTGAGGTCTAGGTGTCACACTTTGAACTTGACCCACTTCTAGTAGATATATGAAAAGTGCACTACAGATAAGTTATCAGTGTATTGGGAAATTCCTTCCTCTTTGTTCAGGTTTAGACCCAAGTAACATTTAATAATTCATTGATTCTCTAATGATGTACTAAGATACATGTTAGGCTTTGATCGTGTATTTTTGCAATTAAGTAGTCTATAGGTGTACTCTCTGGTACATAATGTACACTAGGATTTATGATGTATTCTTATGCAATAATAAAAATACATACCCCCCACACACACACTCTAGATAGAGAGTTATAGATATATGCATATATAAATGATTTTTTCTATTGCCATAAGTATTCATATTTGAAGTATACTATATTTCAATTTTTTTTTTTTTATGAATTATGAATGAATTTCTTGTGATATCAACAGGTAAAGTATAGATACTGTGTGTGCATCATCTTGGAAGCACGACCTGGTATTCATGAGCGTGCTGTTGTTGTGCGATCATGGGAGACTAACATGCTGCCTCGAAGGATTCCTGGAGGAGGTATTTGTCACTGTTTAGTTCAAATAAGCGTAATACATTTATGTGGAGGGATAGATATATACACAACTATGTTATATATGTATATGTAAATGTTCACATGAATGCGTTGTGTATATAACAGGCATAATACTGTACATTTGCCAAACTATTTGTACGATACTGACAATATAAATTAAAACTTCTTTTTTCTCTTCCTGCCCTTCCCTCTCACCCCCCCTCTCCCCTCAGAATCCAACATTTCTGACCCCTCTATTGAGAAATATGGATCATATGGGGGCTCTGAACGTGTTGAGAGTGGCTGGCTGGTTAGAGACTCAGTTGTCCAGTTCCGCCTCTGTACCTCAAACTTGTACAACGACCCTGTGATGCTTTTCAAAAGGAAGTACCAGGATAAGAAGGTGAGTTGGAAAGGGAGGAGAGGAACAAAAATTCATGTATGGGTGTTTTGATTATCTACTAGACTAAAGAACAGATTTATGTGATTGATTTTTCATTGATTTTTATTTATATATTTGTTAATTATTATTATTTTTTTTTACAAGGTCATTGTATTGATGTTTACAGTTAGGGCTCACATCCTTACGAAGAAGACCACTGACAAACAAAGTCATTTTAGAAGTGTCTTTATATTATAGAAAGACTAGTAAAATGATTGTTAAAGCTGAAGAAGCTAATAACAAGGATTTTGATCTCTTTACATTTAGCAGTTAGATTCTTATGAAGGCAAACTAAGTCACTGAGAATAAAGTATGTCCACACAGGACAGCCTTTTTTCTGTATATGAACATAGTTGCATTATAAAGGAGGTTCCAACAAAATGTTCTTATACCCTATATGGCGATTAGATTCTTGTTGTACATATAATCACAATTTTGGTAAAGAAGAGGTAAATGATACTATTATAACAAAGTACATCATATACAGAACAACCATCACAATTACAAAATAATTTGCGAATGCCCTAATTGCACGCAGGTACGCATCAAGGTGACACCAAAAGAGCTTCACAACAACAGTCCAGGGGATCCTCACAATGGCGTTCCTGGGTCAGAAGAGAGCTCGGACTTTGACATTTCCAACCTCCAGATCGACAGCAAGCCCATCTGGCCCATCACGGAGGTGGCT